TCATAATAATTCAGCCGTGTTCCCTTATTCAACATCAAATTATTGATTTCTGTGCAGTCTCTATAATCATAAGCATACACTATTTTTTACTTTTGTAACCATTGCAATTAATGAAAGAAATTGTGCTGAAATATTTGAACAATATTATGATTACTTATTTTATCAAAATAAATTTCTAAATTTATTTTGTGATAAATTTTATATAAATTATTTATATATTACACTTATACTAAAAAATTTTTAAATTTTTAAATTCATATTGATTATTTTTTATTAGAATATTTTATTTTTTTCCATAATTAATGATTTTATAAAGAAGATCAATTTCATTGCCTCAAAAAACACTAGCAATGTTGTGCAAACATTAACAAGAAATGTTATTTACATTGGAGTCTTTTAAGTTTTAACTGATTGTGGTCACATCATTATCAAAATCAACTAGGGGTGTCAAGAACAACAATTGATTTGATTGGAACCTAACTTGAAATTTTTTAGCTTTGCTTGACATGAATTTATTTATTTATTTATTTTACATGGATTCAAAATTTTGATCTGATTAATTTTTAGTTAGATTCAAGTTGATCCAAAAGCCTGAAATTGATGAAATTATCATTTAAGTACGTTAAGGTTTAATGCGTCGGATTTAGACTAAGCTGGTTATTTTCAAGTTAAATGGGTCATGTTAATCTAAAATTTAGAGGATCTATATGATAAACTGATCAAATGGGTCACGTTTGTGTGTAACCTGATTTGGGCCAAGTTTGATTCGGATAAAATATTTTAGATTATATGATACATATGTTGAGTTTAGATTAAGCATTTATTATACAATATTGTTGTATGATAGAAATTTTAAGTGGATATAGTGTATGCTTTTATGTCTCAGTGTTGTATAAAAATTTAGCATGCACAGATAAAAGTAGTAAAATAAGTGAAAAATGTAGAAAGGGAAAAATCATGAGCTTGACTCAATTGAAAAATCTTCCATGTATTAAGTGATAGAAAAATTCTCGTTTTTTTACTATAGAAGAAGAGGAAGATTAAATAGACATCTAATTTTTCCTAAGGAAGATTAAATAAATTAAGTGTTCATAGAGAGACAATTAACACCCAATAATAAGGTTTGAATTTTCCAATTGAGAGTATAAAAAGCAAGCGTCCACAGGCGGATAGTTATACACAGCAGCAATGTTAAATCTTTTCATTATTCTAGAGGTAACAATGATTTCTAATGTTGATCATTGATAATGATAATGGTTGTTGGTGGTGATCGATGGTGAAGAGTGAAAAATGTAAGAGCTATTTAGTTCTCTTTGTTCTTTCTCTTCTTAATTGTGAAGAATGAGTCCCTATTTATAAGATTTTGTCATAATCCAAAACACTCCATCGTACGACTCATATTGATTCTTTTGATCATGAAACGTTCATTCAGTATTTAAGTGCATTAATAGTGTCAGAATTGATTGATTTTAGGCTCGTTGGTTTCATCTCATTGCATTGCTCGATACTATAAGCATGTCTGATTTGGACATGATTTGACCATTCAATTAATGTTTAAAGTTTTCAATTATGCTTCAAGTATTCGATTTGAGCTCTTTTAGATTCGGCTTAGCCTACTTTTGACATTGTTGGGTTCATCTCATTGATGCATTCTGATCAACTATAACTTTGTTGAAATTGCAGCTCATATGACGTTGAATTTAATTCCACAAGTTTTCAATTCTAATTTTGTCTTAAGATTTGTGCCAAATCATACAGATTTTTTGTTGATGTATTAAATGTTTAGGAAGTTCAATTTTTTATTCCATACAAAAACACCCAAGGTAGGTTTAATCATAGGTCAATATGTAGCTATCAAAATTTGTGAGTATTTTAATTTGGGTTGTTGTTGGGATTTTGATTTATTTTTTACTGCCTATTTTTTCTTTATAAAAAACCATAGGTTAATAAAAAAAAATCTCCATAATCAAATAATAGTGAAATCTATGACAGGCATAGGTGTAACAGGGTGTAGCCATCAATGGAATTATTAAATACACATTAGTAAGCATGCCAAGCTACTCCAATTTTTTGTATTTCATGATTTTTTTTTTTCATTATTCGAATTTTGATTGAAACATCAGAAATCAATCATAAACCCACCGCTGCTTAATCTGTGTGGTGGAGAACCGGCTGGGCAAAGCTCAGGTGCCTGGTTCGAATCCTCTGGACGGCAGTGTAAGTCTTAACCGTTGGCTCGAGTAAATTGGTGTGGGTTGTCCGCTAGGTCGATCGAGGTTTTAACTGGCCAATGAATAGTGTTTCCTCGTCTCAAAAAAAAAAAAAAATCAATCATAATAAAATAAAAAAATATATATTCAAACGATTTTAAAATTATTGATCAGCAATCATTGATCAGCAATCATTGATCATGAAAACTTTGGTCAGGATTTAGTACACATTATTAAACATGCATCATCATCATCATCATGACTTAAATTTATTCTTCACAAATTTTTTTAAATAGCATATGCTACCTTAATTGACCTACCCATTCTTTCTAATCCATCCAATAATAATCTTATCAGGCCATTTAATATGTGTATTCAAATCATCAAATTTCACATTTGCTCTTCTTGTTAAACACACTTAGGCTTCATTTGGGACAGCTATCTTGATGTTCTTAAAACAGCTTTTAGTACAACAATTATTATTTTTTAACTAAAAAACTGCTTCAAGAATCAGCAAAAAAGTCATTCCAAACCAAGCCTTAGACTTCATTTGAGAAAGCTTTCTTAAATTTTTAGTACAAATTTTCTAAGCCATAAATTTTTATACTAAAAAACTACTTTAAAAAGCAATATCCCAGGCATCATTTGGGACGATTTCTTCTTAAAACAACTTCATAATATAAAATTTTTAGTTTTTAACTACAGAACTAAATTAAGCAGCAATAAAAAAATTATTCCAAACAAAATCTTAAATTTTATTTGAGACAACTTTTCTACTACGTTCTAAAACAACTTCTTAATACCAAAAATTTTTATACTAAAAATGTTTATATTAAAAAAATGTTTTTTTTTTGAACTATCCCAAAAATGAAGCCTTAGAAAATCACTATTCTTTCACCATACATAGTACATTGTGTTGTTGAATCACATGAGACTCACAAATCAATCGATCATTACATGTGCCGTTGAATCACATGGAATTTTTATTGTGTCAGGTTACCTGACGTAGAGATACATCAGGTAGTCTATAATATATCGCCACGTGCTCTTACTCTTTACCGCGCGGCCCGACGACCCAACCTGGAACGAATATGCGTGGTATTTGCTCGGTATTGCTAGATACTACTCGGTATTTGCTCGGTATTGCTAGGTATATTTGCTCGGTACTTGCTCGGTATGCTCGGTATTTGCTCGAGATCGGAAGCAAAAACGGGATCCCGCTCGCTGTGGAGATAACCTTCACTAATGGGGAGGACATTGCCCGACTGAAGCAACACGCCGGACCGGACGCCTGCTTGGATTTGGAGATCAAAGACAGTCGAGGTGAAGAATGGCGAGTCGCGGAGAAGATAATCAATCTGATGTTTGTCAAAGGTCAGGAGCTGCTTCCTAGAAACAGGTATGCCACCTTGGCCGGGAGCGATGACCACCGCGGGAATCCGGTCGACAGGAAGCTACGAAGTTTGATCGGAGGCAAAAACGGGATCCCACTCAGGCTCTACTCATGGTCGTTCGACTTTTCTCCATCAACGACTTTTCCTTTCCACCGGATCGCAAGCAACGAAGTTTGATCGGAGGCAAAAACGAGCAAGTAACGAGCAAATACCGAGCAACACCGAGCAAGTACCGAGCAAGTACCGAGCAATACTGAGCATTACCAAGCACGAAACCGAGCATTACCGAGCAAATACCAAGCATTACAGAGCAAGTACAGAGCAAATACCGAGCAAATAACAAGTAGTACCTAACAATACCGAGCAAAAACCGAGCAATACGCAAACATAGTAATTCCGGATTCGTTCCGGGTTGGGTCGTCGGACCGCGCGGTAAAAAATAAGAGCACGTGGCGATATATTATAGACTACCTGATGTATCTCTACGTTAGGTAACCTGAGGCAATAAAAATTCAATCACATGAGACTTACAAATCAATCCATCATGAAGCACATGAATCAAAGATTATAACCATTAGATCCATCCACTTAACCATATACCTCTTCTTTCTATTTTAACAGCTAGCTCGGCATAAGAATTTTCTCTTTTATTTTTATAAATAAATTTAATTTATTTTCAACATTTTAAATAAATTTAAAAATGCTATCATACTTTACATAAATCAAACAAAATTTTGAAATAATTTTTACTATAATTTTCTATAAAATTTTATTTAAAAAATGAAAGAATGTTGTTTCATCTCCAACAAATAAAAGAAATAGCATCACATCAGAACAAAACCACAATCCATTGTTTCATCTCCATTCGCATTCTCTTTGCTCTGCAATATATAAATTAGGTAATAGTCCATCAGTAACGAAAATATTCACAGCATAATCACATATAAATAATCCCCAAATGATCTCAATTTTGCTTAGAATTTCAGAACTTCCATAAAAAAAAAAGCATTCCTGATATTCCGTTTGCGACAATTTTCTTACTACTTTCCAAAACAGCTTTTTTGGAAAAAAACTTAACTAGAAATTTTTATGCTGGAAAACTGTTTCAGAAAGCAGTAAGAAAGCTATTCCAAACGATAGCTAAGTTTTACTATAACAGCTTCATTTACAGAAATTGTAACACCTGACCTATCCAAGAAAACATTTATCTACTGAAGTGATGATAGACATTCAAAACTGATGCATTTAGGTTTTGTTTGAGATGACTTTCTTGTCGCTTCTTAAAGCAGCTTTCTAGTGTAAAAAATTTAATGTTTATGCTAAAAAGTTACTTTAAGAAGCAACAAAAAAACCGTCTCAAACAAAGCCTTAGAAAATAGACATAAAATATCCAGAGTAAAAAACAGAATGATCTGAGGGTCATTTGACCAAACCTCTTCTACAATGTAGCAAGCGTACAAAAGGAAAAAGCCTAGATCAAATGAAGAGATAAAACATAGAATACAAATTATTTTTCATCCACAATCAATTCAGTCAAGACAGATTTAACACAGGCATGGTTCAGCTACATTGGCAAGTTATTTTAGATAACAGGAGAAATTCTTCACCACAGTTCAAGCATATAAAGAGATTCAAAAACAGGCACTTTTATTTGGCACCAAGAGTTGGGAACTGACCCTGATCTGCAATAGAAGGGGCGTTTGGAGAAGCCGGCCCAGCACCTGCATAGCCACCTCTGAAGGATCCACGGTCACCGCGACCCCTACCGCGTCCACGGCCACTAGGATTGTAGTATCTATCACCATCAGCTGGCTTCAGAAATTCATTGATACTCATGGCCTGTAAGAAAATCACCATATATTAATATTATATTAACTAATAGACGTTCATCCCACAGCTTTCTCCAAAAAGTTGCTATAGAACTGTTCACCTATTACCTGTAATATAGACTTTTTATTTTTTAAGAAATCATACATCTTTCTCACAAACCACTAGCAGAGATCTGGATATAAAAATCTGTTTCTCACCATAAAAACTTTTGAAAAGTTACATGAAAGCTGTAACTGAAGGCAAATTATTAGGTGCGGACACCGGACAGACAGAAATATCTGGATTTCTCTATGTCTACAGTAAAAAAGAGCAGTTACTTTAACAGCTACACCTTTAGTGTAGATAGAGAGAAATTCGGACGGTTCTCTCCGTCCAGTGTCCACACCTAATAATTTCTCGTAACTGAATAGGACTGTAGTAGTTTGCTGAAAAGCAATGTGGAAAAATTGCTCCAAACAATGTTATTACATGAACTGTAAGCACTTGATGAGAAAATCCAATCCATACCTTTTTAGCTCGTTCCTCTTTTTCAGCATTCTCTCTTCTTTTAGACAAGTCTTTGTCGGAACCCTGAAATATCATTTGCTTATTCAAAAGAAGAATGTTGAACTAAATAGAAAACTATAGAATTCTGTTAACATCAGTGAAGTTTTACCAATTTGATAAAAACATCATCGTTTCCTTTCTTGATAGAAAGTTGCTGCATCGACTGCAAGTCCTTGTCAAGCTCAACTTTTCTCTCCTCAACCTTCAGAGAAAGCAAGGCTTTCCTTTTCTCCTCCCTTACTTTCTCATATTCTTCCAGCGTCATCTCCTGTCAAAATATTCAAACACAGCAAATGAAAAAAAATTCCAAGAATGTTTTGTAGGCATAGTTCACCATGTCCAGCTAAATTAATGAAAAATATTGATTTATCATTAGAACATTCAGAATTGGCCCATAATACTTCAATCAACCATTAAGTTATCAACATGATCTAACAATTCAAACAGCAATAAGACAATCATTTTTCAATTGCTGAACCTATTATTTGTGTCATTTCGTTGAGATATCACATACCAAATTTATTTGGTACAAACAACAATAAAAAAGTTCAAAACATATTCAAACAAAATTTCATATTTCATATGCTTACCCATTCCGTATGTCAAGATATACCTTTTGAAATTACATTTTACCTCTTAAACATCCGTGTAATTTTGATATAATTTTGGGTCAAAATTAAACCATTGAATTTGTTTATATATATGTATATATATATTCACAAAGCAAATCAAATAATTTGAGCGCCTCACCTTAGCCAAATTGTATCAAAGCATCCTAACACAATTATTTATTCCTTAGAAGTGCACGTTGTTTCAAAATCAGGCATATCTGATTGGGGGTGCAGAACGAAAGCAATAACTTCTTAAGCTTACTAAATGATTTTGAAAAAACAACAATGTCCTCAGCCCAGACAACGCAATTTTATGGATAAACAAATAACGCACAGGTTATCACATCATTAAAAAATAAAAAATAAAAACAGGGTTAAAATACTTTATCGTTTGATTAAATTGTAGGCCAGCCCAATTCAAGAATCATAATTGACAATGTTGCTGACGGTTTACAGTTTACGAATTTCAGTATGTACAAATGTGGAACATTATGTTACAATGTGTGGCATTCTTTAAAAGGATACATGTTTTGGCATGTGCTTTCAATAACATGTAAATAAATTAGTGTTGCCAAAGAAACTCTTATGTAGGCCAGACAACCTGGTTACTCGCATACAGAAAAATGCAATATACCCTTGAAACGGCCATCAGTAAACCATAGTAATATGCCTATGGAAAAAATTTCCCAAAATAATTAGATTAGCATGGAAACCATCCTCCCACCAAAGAAGTTACCAAGACATTACTTTGATGAAGCTACAAGTAAAACAACATATAGACATAAAAAAGAGAAAACCAGTTTATAGAATACAACAACAACAACAACAAGAAGAAGCCACTACGTGGGGTCAACTACCATAATTTTTTTTCTACATTGTCCTATTAAGAGTCAAATTCTCATTTAAATCTAATTAAAAAATCATTTTTAATGCTTTCTAATCAGGTCTTTTTAGATCTACCTCTAGATTTCTTAGCATAGATCGTCTCTAGTACATCTACTATCCTAAAAAGGTCATCGGAAGGCCAACATTTTATGTGACCAAACCATCTAAGGCCACTCTCTCTGATCTTACCTGACACTTGAGCTACTCCAGCCATTTAACATATAAAGTCATTTTTCATTCTATCTTTAAACGTAAAGCCACTAATCCACTTGAGCATCCTCAACTTTGCAACATTTAACCATTACCATAATTTTATGCTCCTCTTTTAATGACCAACATTCTACACCTTAAAGAATTGTAGGTTTCACCATCATCTTATAACATTTTCCCTTAAAATTATGGGGTATAACATTTTCCCTTAAAATTATGGGGTAATTTTCTATCGCACAACAGGCCCAATGCATTCTTCCACTTCAACCATCCAACTTGAATTCAACTATTAATATCCTCATCTATTTCACCATCATTATGAGAAATAGACAATATATCTAAAACATGAGCTCTTTTTAATGACTTTATCACCCATTGTCACAATCCCACCACTAGATCAAACCTTTAGACTGTAAGGTTTACCTCCATAATTTGAGTTTTAATTCAACTCCCTCTCTAGTCTTATCAACAAGAAGAATATCATCAACAAAAAACATATACCAAGATGCATCCTCTTACAAATGTCAATTAAAAATCATCCATGACTAAGAAAAAAGATGCGGGCTTACAACTGAGCCTTGATACAATCCAACTGAAATAGAAAAATACTTGATCAAACAACCTTGTGTTTGAGCACAAGTATCCGTTCAAGTATACATATCTTTATGACATGAATATAAGCATAATTAACTCCTTTCTTGTTTAGAACTTCCAGAGCACTTCTCTTGAAACTTTATCATATACTTTCATCAAATCGATAAATATCATATCGAGATCCTCCTTATACTCTATATATATTTCTCCATCAAACCTCTAAACAAATGTATAACTTTCATAATAGACAAACCCGGAATAAATCAAAATTGATTTTGAGAAATATTAGTATCATGTCAAAACTTATGCTCAATTACTCTCTCACATAGTTTTAATATATAACTTAATTCCTCTATAATCGACACACTCTTGAGCAGCATCTTTATTCTAAAAGATAGGAATCAACACACTCCATTCATCTAGCATCTTTTTAATCTTCAAAATAATATTAAGAAGTAAACCAAGAAATTCGTTTATCTCTTAAGCATTTTCACACTTCTATTAAAATATTATTGGGTCCTACTATTTTCTACACTTTATTTTCTTTAAAGCTAGTCTAACTTCAATTTTACTAATACTATGATTTTTCATATATGGTGCTAAGGACACTAAAATCAATCATATTCTCACAAGTTCTATTGAAAAGTTTATCAAAATATCTCATTCACCTATAATTTATTTCCTCTTCTAAGAAAATCACTTTTTGATCTTTATTCTTAATACACTTTACTTAAATTAAATCTTTACTCATATTTCTTTGATTGGTCAACTTATACATATATCATTTACCCTCCTTAGTATCTAATCTAATATTTTTTTATCTAATCTAATATATAAATCACTAAAAAATTAAATTCTTAGCATCAAATATTACTTCTTTTTATTATTTCTTTACACATTTTAATTCCATCATTAGAAACTTTTTCTTTGGATTCTCCAAGCAAATACGTTGCAACATTAGTAATATTAGATGTTTCATTCTTTTCTTAAATAAAGTATTAGCAATTACAAAATCATAAGTTGGAGCAAAATCTAATATGATACTACGATCTTAATTAGTCACTTCAAACTCATAGCCATCATGAATGTTTTTAAAATCTTCTTCCAATCTACCAACATGGCCATGTACATCAATAGATTTAAATAAGCTGATTAAAACAAAATTTAAACATAAATATCCTTTCAAAAAGAAAAAAAATGACAATTTTAAATCTTACAGAAATTTACATCAATAGATTTAAGCATAAATTAGACTAAATCCCACAAAAATTAAAAATGATAACTTTAAATCCTACAAAAAGTTAAATCTTTCAAAAAAAAACATTAATTTGATGTTCATTAATTAATAAATAATTGTTATATTAATACATATACATTAAAATATCTAATTATAATTTATAATTTGATATTTATACATGTTAATAAAATAGCACGCGCCATTTGTGCCTTGTGCCATTGCCCATGCATGGAGAAAATAGCACGCACTATTTTGATGCGTTGCGTCTCGCCGCACCAAGCAGATAGCATCATATGTGCGCCATGTGACATGCGTCATTGCCTATTTATGACGTGCACTATTTTGCGTAATTGACATGTATGATGTCATTAATGTCAATTAAGCCCATATAAATTTTACTCGATAGTCCATACCCAAGAATTGCAAAACAAATCTCGGGCCAAAAAAGAATATATGTTTGCTCAAGCAAACTGCCATTTCCTCCGATGACTGCTGAGTTTTTTCAATTTCTAATCTCTTTCTCTTTTGTTTGTCTTCTAAGAAAGAAATGGTGCAGGCAAAGTCATCTAGATGAAGGGATGAAGAGGGAAAGAGTGTCCGTGACAGTACTTCAATAGCAGTCATAAAGTGGCATCATTGATGAAACTCTAGCACTTCTCTAAATATTTTCAACTTATGGATCGCAAAGGTTGTCCGTTTTTTTTTTATAAGTTTCAATATTTCATTACCAGAAACCAATAATTTTTGTAAATATTATATCAGGGATTATTGACTCCTATTGCCAGGTTATTTTTCAACAATTTAGTTTCATTGATTCATAATTAGAAGGTTAAATTTTAGTTTGTGATGTTGCCCTCCTCTCTCACCACCCTAAATGAGTAACCGATATGATAGTTTTAATTAAACTTTTTTTTTTCAAAAGGGCCAACCCAGCCATTCAATCACTATGGGTTCCTCAAGGCCTCAACCCAGCTGCCCAATTGGGCCCAGTTAGTATTGACAGTACAAGAGTTGTATCGGATTGGAAGTTGAGAAACAAATGATCCAACTTCAGATTTGACAACCGTACTGATTTAATACTTACAAATCAAGAATTGTATCAAATTGGATGTTGAGAAACAAAATGAATGACGGACAAGAAATATCAAAAGAGGAACTTGCATGTCTACGTAGCAATTTTAAACGCAGAATGTAATAGGATTACAGAGACGGATACAGGCACCCATGCATGCAAAAGAAAAATTAAAGTGCAGAACAATTCGCTATACAATGTATGGACTATAAGCCAGAAAATACTTGAAAAAATTGTAGTCTCTTAATAGAGCAACAATGTTTCAGATTTTCATCATGTAAAATGTAGAACAATATTGTACAAAATATGTGGCATTCTTTAAAAGGATACATGTTTTGGTATGTGTTTTCAATAACATGTACATAAATAATGTTGCCACCGAAAAAAAAACAATATGTAGGCCAGTCAAGCTGGTTACTTGCATACAGAAAAATGCAAGAAACCTTTGAAAAGGCCATATATCATCATAAAAATATGTATAAAGCAACAATTTTCCATATAAAGAAATTTTGAAGCATATACTCCCTCCATGATGTTCTGAAAGAAGATTAATTGGGTCATTGGGTGTTGTAACAAAAAAAACAACAAGAGGAAACTAGTCAACAGGATAGTGCAACATTTTAGCAAAAATTCTATGGAACAACCTTGTAGTGCAATGG